AGTCCAACAGATCAAGGCAACATTTGTAACCAAGCCCAAGAAATCTTTTATAGTAATTGTGTAACGATTATCTCCCCCTTCTCCCCCTCCTCCTTCCCTCCTGCTTCTTTGCTGCCTTTTTATTTTCTGCCTTTTCCTCACCACCTTGGATGGTCACTTCTGCTTCATTTCAAGCAATCTTTGAGCCACGGGGTGGTGTGAGAATCATTCCTTGCTTTTTTTGGCTCAAAGCTTGCTTCCTTAGGTATTTTGTTGAGGAGGCAAGTCATGGATGTTGCGTGGCAATCAACGCTGCTGTGTGGACAATTTTACATCTTTGGAGCTGTTTGCCTTCAGAAGATAGTGCTCAGGACTGTTTACTGGCAAAAGATCTAGCCTGTTACCAAATAACTCCTGTTCGCTATGGAAGACTGGGGACAATGCCATTGTATCCTGCGAAGGCAAGATACAAGTTGGCGCCTCCCTGCTCCCTCTTATCTGCTGGCAAGGCCAGAAAGATAAGAACAAAGGAGTTTCCTGCTGAGATCCCAGAGCCAGAAGCTGCCACTCAAAGGAGAGCTGATTCAACCACTTTGGATTTGAGCTGTCACTGCAAAGACAGCTGACTCAACCACTTTGAAACCATTGAAAAGGGGCCATCATCACCATGGTCGTGCGTCGCCGTCGTCGTCAATAGAACAACTCTGCCCCACCACGACCCACCACTACTAAGGATCAAAGACGGAACTACGAACCTCGCTGGATCCATGGTGGTGACTATGTCCCTCTTGCTGCCTATAAAGACTCCTTGCCTCTTCTTTCCTATCTTTTCTATCGCCCTCCTTCCCTTCCCCATTACCCTAATTCATAATAGTGTCCGTCCTCCCCTTCCCCATTTCCCTGATTAAGATGTGTAATAAGCTGGTCGGACCAACATTTGAACCGTTGCTTCTTAATCTCACGCCAGGTATATAGATTACAAAAGAACCTCCTCTCCCTCCTATAAATTGGAGCGAGACATATTGGCACCTACCTTCCTACCTCCACTTGTGCGACTGGCATTTCTAAACAACTCCTGTTCAAAGTGAGCATTTTCCTGTGGAAAGTTAGAAGAAATACAAGTATGCACCGTAGCTGACAAAGTCCCAGCAGATGCTAGAAGAGATCACTCAAAACACTACTTTGTGATGTGAGATTTCATTTGTGAGCTGAGCCAGCAAAGCAAGGACTTTCCTGACAACAAAGGCAGTTGCATCTCCATTTGTAAACCACATATTCAGAATGGTAATTCTGTGCTTGTCTGAGTGTGATTTCACTAATTCTGTTTATCAAAAATGTAATTAACTTCTATCCTGAAAAAGTCAGCGTCATGCTGAGGAGAAAAAAGTCAGTATGCCTTTAGAGACAAAAACGGCCTATTGTTGTTTATCTGGTAAAAATCAAATCACCTGAAAGAGTTGATAAATATGATATACTTGAGAAGTTTGGATAATACATCCCATCTTTGTAAGTCAAATAAAGATTATGGTCAATTTAGTGAGTGAAGAGTTTGGGAATTTATAATTTATAGATGACAAATTCTGATTGTGCAGCAGCAAGCCAGCCCAGTCTATGAGCTACTGAATGCTTCCTGGAGAAATTGTCTATTTCCTATCCTCATTTTTCATGAAATTCATCATGTTCTGTAGTGGTCAAAAAGATTGGTAATACTCTTCACTGAACTAGCTTTCATTGTAGGTATTTTAGGTGCTTCACCATCCTGTTTTACAATCTGGCCACGAGCAATTAACTTCCATAGACACAAAACTGTTCAAGAAAAAGAATGGATTGCCCTAAAATGGATATTCCAGAAACAGCTGAACCTGAAACAATGCCATCCCTTTCTATATTCCAGATCTTGTCCCAGGAAAAGTCTGATTCAAAGTGCAGTTGGCTAAATGAGAAACTGACTTCTGCCACAAGATAATTTCAAACTCTCAGGCTTTAAGTGTAGAAATTAAAATGCACAGAGCTCTTATATTTTGTTGTTGAAAGACAGCATTTGATGGTGTACTTTCTCCTCCAGTTGAGAATAAAAAAGAAATCACATTAGTTCAGTTAGACAGTAAAAACCAAAACTGATGTGACTTCAGGTCTCCAGCAGATTGTCAACTACCATCAGTAATAGAAATTATACTTCTGTCTACTGTTGCTTATGGAGAGGGAAAATGATGTTTTAATACAATGAATGCTAATATTGGCAGGTAAGGAGAAGTCAAGCTCATAAAGGTGCCAGGAAGGTGGTGAAAAGTTTAGAAACTCCAACGATAGTTGAATGGCATGGCTTGAGGATATGTCTGGCCACTGGCACTCGTTTAGATGCAAGTATCACACAGCCATAAGAGAATTAACATTGATCGTTACGTAAGTTGAAATAATTTATCAGTGATTTTATTAAACTCTTCTCCCACTGATCTACGCTAACTAGGAAAAACAAATACTGTTCAAACACTTTTGCCAACATTCTTCTAATAATTTAGCAGTTGTCTAATAGCATTTTTTGAAAAAAGAGCTGACTCATTGTTTTGAAATCAGTTACGGACCTCAGTTCTAGTCAACCCACACTAATGCAAGCAAAGATAAGAAGGGAACAAAAGGACCCTAAAACCACAGGAGCTGAATACCACTCTCCCTGTAGATGAACAATGACCAGTGCAGCCTACTGGGGTAAGCTCAAAGGCCTTTGCATGTCTGAAATGAACTGTGTAGTTTCTGAGGATCTGGTGAGTCTGCAATGTGGTTCTTATTTTTTTTGGGAAGTTGAGAAACCAAGCCCAGCAAAAGACCTGTGCTTTATTTTTATCCCATTATATGTACAACTATTTTGATCCCAACTTTTATCTCCACAGTATTCATTTTAAGTGCACACTGCACATTTCTTAAAACTAAGTACAGAATAAGATTGAGCTGTCTCTCTGGTGACCTCTCTTATGCACTAGTTCTCTGTCCACATGGGCAGCATTACTCGTACAGCCACCTTGAGTTTGTGGCTCTTTGCCATTTGTGGCATTTCAGAAATGGCCATAGGAGGCTAACCATTCCACCCATCAAACCTAACGCATGGGATTCATCATCTGGGGGTCATTTGGGACTACAGTCTGAAATGAGGTAAACAAGTTCGGTTAAAACAGATCTATCTTTGCTAAGCCAGGTTTTCACTGATGAAAACAGGTGCTTTTCTACAGACCTAGAGTGTTACTACGGATAGTCCGGACAGCGAGTCTCCTATTTCTACCCTAATTCTGGAATGTAAGGCATCTGGCTAGAACAGTAAACCACAAATTAACAAAGAAGCAGCAGACAGGTGGGCAGAGCTGACGCTGATAAGAGGACTGGCCAGAGCCAGGCAAAAGTCCTCCAACTCCACCCAGGTCAAAGAGTACACAGCCAGGAACATAACTGCCTTTATCAGAAAGACCACTGGATAACCAGGGAGAAATGCCACGCATATGTAAAAGAACTGAGACTCGGGGCGGGGGAAAATGTCAGTCATTCTGGGGACTCATTGTAATAAAACAACGTTTTCTTGGACATCCAATGCATATGTGAGCAGCTTGCTCTTTAAGCATGTGCCTTTCTCGACCTGCAGTAAGCAGGCTAGGAGGGAAAAGTGGTAAAATAATGATTAAAAGCTTTGAGAAATACATGCCATAAAATGCACGGGAACAATAAACTCCTAAACAACATTAACAACCAAAAACCCATTATCTCCTCAAGCACTAATATTATCCTAAACAATTTAAAAGTAGTAGTAACAGCATACTCAAGAAAGGCAAAATCACACTTAGGTGAATTAGGCACTAATACCACCTTCTTGCACAGGATGCAAGCATGTAGCAGTCCCTGAAAATACCGGTCTCTGTAACAAGTTTCTTGGAAACTGACAGAAAATCAAAATGGCCCATGTGGAATCACCCAACTGCATGTTGGCATCAAAAGAGCTTGGCCAGCACGTCGAGGGAGGTGATCCTCCCCCTTCTACTCTGCACTGGTGAGGCCACATTTACACTGCTGCGCCCAGTTCTGGTCACCTCAATTAAGTGAAGTTAAAAGACAGGGACCTCCTAGAAGGAGTCCAGCAGAGGACGACCACAAGGATGAGTGGGGGCCTCCCATGTGAGGAAAGGCTGAGTAACCGCGCTCCGTTCAGCCTGGGGAAAAGGACACTGAGAGGGGATCTGGTAAATATTTATCACTATTACACATAACTGTTATATATAACTATTTATAACTAAAGGAAGGTGGGAGGCAAATGGGTGAGGCCAGGCTCTTCTTGATGGTGTGTAGCAAGAGCACAAGGAGTAGTGGCCTAAACCTTGTACATAGGAAGATTTGTACTAACATGCAGAAGAACTTCTTTATGGTAAGGGTGATGGAGCACTGGAACAGGTTGCCCAGAGAGGTAGTGGGGTCTCCTTCTCTGGAGACATTATTCAAAAACAGCCTGGATGCATTTCCCATGTGACCTAACCTAGGAGTTCCTGCTCAGGCAGAGGATTGGACTAGCTGAGCTTCCCAGGTTCCTTCTAATCCCTGACATTGGGTGATTCTGTGATTCGTTGGTATGGAGAAGAGACAGCAGCTATTAATAGGAAGACATAGTAAAGAAATACTCTTTACACATCTTAGCCAGGATTCTGGCATTTATTGAATTTTAATAAATGATACAATTTTTTTTAGCACTTCCCTTCCCTCCCATCCCCTTCCTTCCCATTCCCTTCCCTCTTCGCATCGCTTCTCTCTTTGCTGCACTTCGCTTCTTTCTTTGCTTCGCTTCTCTTCGCTTCGCCTCGCCCTCGCCCTCTCCTTCTCCTTCTTCTACTACTCCTCCTCCTTCTCCTCCTCCTCCTTTTCCTGCTCCTCCTCCTCCTCCTTCTCCTCGTCCTCCTT